CCCCAAAACCCCAAAACCCCAAAACCCCAAAACCCCATGAACAAATTACTGATTCCAAATATTTAAAGATACTATTAAAAGAGAATATAGCAATCTAATTAGTTGGTATGCCTCCAATATTACTCTGACACAGTCTTTCTCTTAATATTTACAACCATCTTGGATATATCTCTTTAAGATCACTCCCGAACTGATTGAGATTTGGTGTAGATATCTCTTCTAAATAGGTCCTTACCCAACTAATACAGAGTTAAGACTCTTCTCACAAATGACCTAATAGATCCATCAGAATTATTTAAACTTAAGCTCCAGATTAATAGCAACTATGTCTACGACCTCGGAGCTATTTTCACAGATTTGTATGCACGAACAGAATCGAAACTTTATTGGAAATTCATCCCGTTAGGACTAAAATTTAAAGATACTTATTAAATCCAACAAGTTCTTTGCCACAGGCTACTAAAGCACAAGGGATAACTCAGAGAATAAGTTTTAAACCTAAGCAGGGGGTTTTATACTCTTTTTAATTTAAATTCAATTTTTCGAACATAAATTCTGACCGAAATGAAATTCTGATCCAGAGATGGAACATATGAGAGATCGACAGTGGTGCACTAGGAAGTTTACCAAAGGTGTTTAGAAATAGTGAGCAGCTTACAATATCTAAGAAAATTTAGAAGGCAAATGTTTTAATCTAAACAAGCAAAATATTCGAATCCGAGCATAAATGAGAGAGCAGGTTTTAACTATTAACATTTGTGATAGTCAAAGTAGATGTTAATTAATAGTCACCGTTTTGGGGTTTTAGGAATTAACAAGAGCCATTGATAACCTGAACTTAATTCATGCAATAGTGGGCTATAATACAAGCTGAATATGAGTAATCATCTAGTCTAGATAGCAAGTATTTATTTCATGATTCTGTCATTACTACTATCAGCAACCAGTACAGATTGGATGGGTTAACATAGTATTGATATTGATATTAAAAGAGTTTTATAAGTAACAGTCTTGCTTACTTAGACATATTTAATTGCTGTTAATGAAAGGTAAGTATGGGCCAATAAGGAAACAGGGGAAATAAGTCCAATGAGAGCATTATAAAAGGGAAGATTCCAGCTTAATTCCTACTATAAGAAAGAAAGAGCATTTTTTGGTGATTAAACTTCCGAATTTATAATACCCATCAATCCTCATTATGTCCTTTTCGATACTGATTAGTAGCTTAACTTTTCGTTCATCTGACAAATCATACCTCAATTTTCAAGGTAAGAAAGAAGCTTCATGATCATATTAGTAAGCAGAGTAGAGTATATCCAAGAAAAACTTTATTTAAGAGAGCCCTTTGTCAATCTTCAAGCTAGGGGATTTTCAACTTTAATCTGAAAAATGAGCTGTAGCATTCTAAAGGCAACATTAAAGAGGCTTAAAATTTACTGAACTTTATGCAGGCAAGCCCCTCTAATTATTTATCAGATAGGGTATTCCAAAATAATTTTTCCAATCGAAAGAAATACTGAAAATTTTTGAAAATGCATAATTTGGATAGTTGCTCAATTGATCATTAAAAATATGTAACTTGGTTCTAACTTGTCAGACCATCTTCACCAATATGAGTTTGAAGAAAGTCCTTGGGGTTGGAGACCACTGTAAATGTACCATTGAGGGTCTTATTGGGTAAGATAAAGGTTTCAGCACCAACCGCTTATTGGTATGGAAAGTATCGAAGTCTACTTATCAAGTTTAAGGGAATAATTTGAAATTAGTATTTATAAGTAGACTGATTTACTATCCACCCTTCAGGAAGAAATTCTATCAGGATAAGTCTGTTGGAGATACAAATGAGACGAATAAAATTAGCATTTTCAGAATAATTCAAAATTTTTTGTAAAAGATCTTAGGACTTAAAATACAGCCTATAGTTGTTAGAAGGTGAGTTCTGATGTATAAGGCTAAAGAATCATTATAATTTATTAAATTAACTACCAATAGCATCCCATTTATAAAAGTCTTGATACTTAATTTATAGCTAGTTTGATGCTTTGTACAGGTTTGCTATAAAATATTCTTAATAAAAACGGATAAATTTTTTTTCAAATCCAATTTCTTTTAAATCAATCCACCAGGATATGAAACATGCTTCTATAACCTTAAAATATTTCCAAAGCTCCTAATTCTTACTCTTTGATTTATTTTCCTCTTATTTCCAAATATTCCTCTTTCATCCCTCTTCAAAACTTAAGTTGAATCCAAAATTTTTAGTTATCCAATCATATGAAAATCCGAGAAATTAGTTAACACCAACTGGTGTTAACTAATTTAAAGGTGGTTTCAGAATATTCTAAAACACCAGTTCGTTCTGATGAGAGAAATAATGGGAGAATCGGTGTATAAATAGCCATTAAGGGCATCTAGTAGAGGAGAAGAGGTGATGGGCTTTTGTGGATCTCAAAAATATTGAGTTTAAGAGGAATTTGAGAGAAAACAACTATTGAAAAGGAGTCTTCTTAGAGGTTTTAGATATTTAGAATTAATTAAGTTAGTTTAGGAAGAGAAACATGCAGGCCCAGCCACTTCGTGGATTGTGAACCCTCTTTGAACTCTACAAGGAGTTTCTTTGTTCTTTTTCTGTGGAGAAATAGAGTTGTTTCTTTGCTCTGTGTAGAAATTTTGGACACTCTTCATCCTCATTGCTTTCTGCAATAGAGTTGAAATGTCTCTCTGAAGTTTAGATTTACCCTTTGGGCCATAGGAGTATACTTTCTTAAATGGCAGCCTCTTTCTTGTTGCTATTGGACCCTCACTTTCTAATAGTTTTGGGGCTTGCAGAAATCCTCCAGATGGACAAGATGGACTTGTGTAGATCTCTCCAGCTACCAGTTTGCTGCTAAATAAAGGCTTTGACATATTCTTTTCCAAGTTTAATGAGACGTTGACACTGGAGACTTGAGTGCTCTCGTCCAAAAATTCCTCTGACAAATTTTCATCAAAATTAATTAGGTTACTCATATTTAATAATATATTATCTAATTCAAATCTTTGTGTCTTATATGGGGTTTTGGGGTTTTGGGGTTTTGGGGTTTTGGGG